CCCCCCCCCCCCCCCCCCCCCCCGATCTCTGCTATCTGGGGTCGTTCGTTGAAATGGGCTCTTCTCGTGTGCACGCACGAAAGAGAGGAGTTCGAGGCACGGAAGAAGGCCCTGCGGGAACGGAGCACTCAGAAAACCAACGCCCCGAAACAGCTGTCGAGCTCCGGCAAGGTGGGCGGGGGAGCGGGTTCGAACTCCTTGACTTGGGGGGAGACACAGATTGTACTTCAGACGTACAGCAGTGTTGTGGTGGGGAGGCCGCACATCGAAGGGTTTATTTGTCTTATGTGCTACTTCCCTTGCGAGCGTCGGGGTTGGAACGGCTACAGTATGTTATCGCTTCACCTTGCATGAGTCTATTGCTCCTGCTCCAGTCGAGATTTTTCCGTCCACTACATATACCTGGCGCGAAACGCCCTCTTGTTAAGAGGCAACGACGCAATAATAATTCTGATCGAATTGACACTTACACCCATCGCTACACGCTTTGCAAGATACCCCCTCTCCCCCCATTCGTCGTGTTGAATGACCATGACCCTCCTCGCTTAGCGAAGGAACCCCCGGGTTCTCGAAGTCGGAAAACAGGGGGGGGGGGGGGGGGGTTGCAAAGGGTTATCATGAATGAGAATCTCATCAAGTTCTCCATGCCCCGTATCCCTCCCACTACCCGCGTCGGTTCCATTCGTTGGTCGATCCCACCTCCTCTTTGTCGTTCTTGTTTCGCTTGCGGAAAAAAGGACTTGAGCGCTTCCCCGTTCCTGCTTGCCCTCGGAAACCGAGAAGAGCTGGTTCGCAACGGCAAGCTGACTTCCATAATATTTGTTCGAGACGTAAACAGCAAGGGGCAGGAGGTCAGCGGCTACATCGACTACGCGCACCGGTTGAGGTCGACCAACTTCGAGCCGTACTTCGAGCGACGAAAAAAGGTGTTCCTTGTGGTCGTCTCGTGCTTAGGGATTTTAATTTTGCGTTTCGGAACGAACGGTTGAATCTTAGCCCTAGACACTACTACCGTTAGAAACAGCAAGACGATCATAGCAGCAGCAACTATTAAGCGGTAGCAGTCAGTGTGAACAGTGACAACCAAACTCAAGGGATCGTGACGACTAACGCACACCGATGGTGTGCGCATCCTGCGAACAAAATCATCAACAAGACAATAAAAAGCTGCCATGGCGTTCACCTTTTTTCCCGCAACAGCAGAACAACAGCAGCAGTAGCAGTGAAAATCTCTCACCCACGAACGCGCGAACTGCTCTTCTCCGGCATCAACCACCAACAACACAGCTCATGCCTAGGCCGACGGACCTGAGCTACTACAACTGGGAAACCCAGACTTCAACGTCAACCTCTACGCCCAACTTCCAGGTAAGTTTTTGTTCTCTACCCACTTTCATGTACCTACATATCCCATCTGCCCTTCCTTTTGGATGTAGAGTTTTTTTTGCGCCCTTCAGTGACAAGTAGATAGCGCAATAAACGGGGAGGGGATTCTATCAGAGACGGGAAACAATTCGAGCAGAATGAGCCCCTGTGCTGTGGAGCCGGGCGTAGATGTTCCATACATAGTAGAAGAAAAACAACCGACCAGACAACAAACCGTCTTCGTCCTCCTGGTGTCGACAGACAGAGAGAAGAGCTCTTCTGATTGAGACCAAAAATCCACGACGCCACTGCCGTAACAGTACATTTGTTCTGGGCTAACTCTCAAACTCGGCGAAGCACTCACCATCTTATCCAAAGAAAGGTAGTTTGTGCTGCGAGCACTTACTACATAGAGGAAGCGCTTTGTCTTCTTGCATTTATTTCTTTTTACTGCTTTCTCGGACTTACTTTTTTCGTGTTTACGCCTCTGATTTAGTCTTTATTTTCTATTTTTGAGTGTTGTTGTTGATGTTCTGTCCCCAACCATGCATGTATGTATGCCAACGGCGTGTTTTACACGGGGTTGCCCGACAAAGAAAGGCCATTCATCCACAAGCAGAATAAACACCACAGACATAAGGAGGCGGTGTGGGGTGAATGAAGAAGTAAGTGCGTTCCCTTTTTCTTCACTCCCCTTCCCGCTCCGCGCCGTACACTTGCAATATATACCTGCGATGTTCTGATGATAAGATTCTTCGTCAGATCATGTGTTTGCGTGTTGGCTACACGTACCTGGCCTGCGGTTGCCGTTGCCTTCGCAACTTCTGCAACTAGGAGAGACAGTGGCAGGAGCCAACCAACCGGCGATTGTTCACAGCTCCACGATGCCTTTGCGTTTTCCTACTCCAGTGCCGACTTACTTGTAAAGCGTCGCTGTATGCTTCAGGCAGTCTCTTTCTTTTCGTTTCGGCGACTTGCTCTTTCAGTGTATCACAAGCCATCGTGCACAATGTTTTCAGTTCGTAGTTGCTGGTTCATGAATAATGAATAATGCGAAATTGGACATCTCAACACGTTGGAACAATTCGGCCACGGTTAAGGCAAGCCGGGAAAGAAAATTGATACATTGGCTGTGTTTCGTTGTTGTTGCGGGTATTATTTTGTCTAATTTTCGTTTTTATTGGAGACGACGCAATTTTCGTTTTTTCGGGACGAATTACAACAACACAGGTTATCGCGGACGGGGAAGCGGGGCTGCTGTTCAAGAACAAGCGAGACCGAAAGGTGGTCAACGTAGACCCCAAGGCTCCCCCGGGCGACAACACCACGAGGACGGAGATTCGCACGCCGGAGTACCGGCAGGTGGTCATCTACGACCATATGACGAGAAGGAAAAGCTGATCGCAAGGAAAAGGGGGGGGAGGAGGAGGAGGAGGAGGAGGAGGAGGAGGAGGAGGAGGAGGGAAATCCAAGAGAGACTAGTCGGTGTTTCTTACCACATGTCGAAAAGCGGATCGAGGCGTTCATCACGGAGTGCTTTGGGGCATGGTATGCCTCGTGGCATGCAGCAGAGACGACGAGAAGCGGCGTTTTTTTTATTGTCTCAGTAGGGAGTATAACACAACACATCATTTGGTATTTTGTCTTTGTGAAGCGTCACCGCTTCGTTCATTATGAGAAAGGAACATGGTAGTTCTAGCGCATCTATCTGGCGACAAAAAGTGACTTGTGCCTGAAAAGGCGAAGAAGAGTCTACAGGAGCTTTTTATGGGACGCCCTGCGACCGCTGAATGACATTTTCTGGGGGGGGGGGCGGCACTATGCTGTGGAGAATAGTGCACAGAACAACACGGAGGCTGGCAAAAGTCTCCCGTAACGCCAAGTAGTTCTGGAAAGCTCTTGCTTCCTCTGGCGGTCCCTCTGACATGAGAGTCACTTGCGCCAGCAGCGGGATACACCATCGATGGGCCCTCACACAACATCAAGAATACGCACTTCATTTGGCTTTTACTTCACGGTCGCTCCCTGTGGCTACCGCACAAGTCACGTCTTTCGCTTTTTCGGGAAAGTTCCGAGTCAGCTTCAAACAGAAAAACAGATTTTTCCTTGTCTCCAAAACCACATACATACGTGATTTAAAAAAAACAACCACCCGAAGACTGTTTCCCCCCAAAAGCGGGTCCGGATTTTGATACAGTAACACCTACCCGGCGAACACCGGTCGACTCGCAAGTTGACAAGGGAACACACAAACAAGAAGAGGGTCAAAACACAATCAATCATCATCCCGCCGCGTGGACCACTCTCCTTTGTGTTCCCATCGTTTCTATCCCCCGGTCTCCCCTACCCATTCCCCCTCACTTGCTGTGTACTGTGTACCCTCCCCCCCACCCTTAGCTACCGACATGGCAACGGGCGAGCAAAACGACCGCACGTGTGTTGTTGGTGTTTTGCCATGGGGTGCTAGTTTTATCGGCTTTCCTTGCCGCCAGCATTTTTTTTTTTGTTGCGCCTACATCGCAGCGCGTCTGCGTGTAACAGTCTCGAATCGTCCGTCCTGCTACTCTCTCGCGGCGAGCCTCGCTTAGCCAAGGAGGCAACGGCAGACACAAACCCCCCTCCCTTATGAAGAATTGGCATGGCAAGCCAATCGCTTCCTCCGAAGACTTTCTTCCCTTAGCAAATACCAAGAAAAGTAACATAGTACCCCCCACAACAACGAAAGGTATCTACTACTAACAGCGTGTGTCCCCACCCTCACAAGCGAAGACCGTGAACACATTCGCACAACATAATTTGTTTTTTTCTTCTTCTGATAACAAAAAATAAAATCCTCTTGTCCGGTTGGAAAAAACCAATCTACACTGACTTGGAAAACATAGCTCAACCACTGTTTCGCGTGCCGTCGTTACACGGCCGCACGGAGTATCGAATAACGATCATGACGAAAAAGATAATCAACACAAGTACTCCTTTCCGAGATAACTTATTGCCTCTGTCTCCTCTCCTTAGTCTGTCTGTTGCGCTAGGCGCGCAAACGTGCCGAGTTTATGAACGAAAAAAAAAAAGTCGTTCTATCCATGGCATCCACCTACACACGGCGCTGTCTCGCCACATTCCTTTCTCACGTGCTGCTGTACTACTAAATATTGCAATAATCCGTAGGCATTTGCTGTGCGTGGATACGAACGTAGTCAACAGTTTCCAACCTCCATGTGCACCTTGTTGACGGCCTTCGAGAGCAACGCGATTCCCCAACGTGTTTCATCCTGAACCAACAAAGTTCTGCAAGTCTCTTGTCGAGATGTACAGTCACCCGAAGTCACGCCGACCTCCAGTCAACAACAAGAGGCTCCCAAGCATCATCATCTCTCGCCACAATATTTTCAAACTGCAGCTGTACGTATAGCATGGACGACCGCCGAAGCAACGAACGAGATTTACACGCCATCACATCTTCTGTCTTGCCCAATCTTCCAACTGCAGCTGCGTATTGTACGCCACGGACGGTATCACACAAAAACACACACCACACGGTCAAGAAGAATGCCCCCCCTCCCCCCCCCACCCC